TCCAGAGTCCTCCTCAGAGTCCCTGCATGTCCCAGCACAGCTGTGCACCATACGGTTTTCAGGGGCAGATTCTCAGACGTTGCTTACCACTCCACTTCTGAAATGTGTCTGGGTGGATGTGAACCCATAGCCTTTCAGTTCATTAGCTGAGTGCATTAACCATTCTCATTTTGCTTTGTTCAGTAAATTGTAGGTCCTTTGTTGTCTTTGGGCTCTCTCAGGATTTTTTGAAAAGCAGTGTGGTATGGAATAGATGTGCCCTTTGAGAGGAGGTAGCATGTACAAAGGCCATGAGGTGAGATGGAGGAGGACACCTGTCAGGTAACTGGCCACTGGCCCTTACATAAGGCTCAAGTGTAGAGAGCAAGGGGACAGCTAATGGGAGGGGGTCAGCAGAGGCATGACCACACGGGACCCCACAGTCCTCCTTATGGAATTTTTGCTCTTCCTAAGAACATGACCAGCAATGAAAAGTTTCCTCTGCAGTAGTGATGCAGCCAGATTCTACAGGATGGTGCTATGATGAGGAGAGTGAGACAGGCAGTATCTTCTCGGCAAGGGGGCTGGAGCCCTGGACCAGAGAACAGAGCAACCCTGGATTACAGCAGGGGGTGTTGGCAGTGTAGAGAGGGTGGGTCCTGACAAGCTGTTAAGACTGCTAAGTTACCCTAGTGGCCCAGTGGGTAGGAGCTTGCTGCTGATCAAAAGATCTGGCAGCCTATATCTATAAAGATAACTGCCTGAAATCACCATGGGGTGGTTCTTCTCTGCCAGGGAGGTTTTGTGAGGCAAAAGCTTCTGAAGACTACCATGGACTAGAAATGTTTAAGATTCTCTGGGGAAGAGAAGGCAGGGCTGGGCAGCCCAGAAAGAGTGTTGCTCTTCCCTTTACCAGCCACTGGAGAGTACCCATTGTGTGCCAGGCATGTCCTCAACACTGTATGACAGCAGGGAACAGAATCATCCCTACAAGCTGGACCCGAGCAGGCCTCCCAGAAGAGGTGACATTTGAAAAATGAAAGGAAGTAAGCCAGGGGGGTAATTTGCTTGCAGAGGAAACTGCCATTGTGAAGACCCTGAGGCTGGACAGATTTGGCAGGCTGTGAGATTGGTAAGGTGCTCAGAGCAGGCTGAACAGAGGGCCCAGGGTCAGGGTCTCCTGTAAATTGCTAGGGTGGGCGGAGCCAGCTCCTGGCCAACCTAAGAGACCATGGTCCAGTGCTGCAAGCCAAGAGGAGATGATTGAGCACTCTGACTTCTTGTTAGGTACCTTCTGGTCAACCCCAACCCATAGAGACTCTGTACAACAGATTGAAGCCTTCCCAGTCCTGTGCCCTCTTCACAGTTTGCTGTCCTTCAGCCCATGGTTGCTGTCATTAAGTCAATCCATCTCAATTAGGATCTTCCTCACTTAGGTTTTTAAAATCTCTGAGGAAAATGGACTGCCGGATGGTAGGAGTAGTGGAAGGCAAAAGGCAAAGGCTGCAAGGAAGTGGACGAGCGCAGTCATGCCCAAACAGGGAACCCCCACCCACTGGCCTTCCCCAACTCCAGCTCTTGCCCTAGAAGCCAGGGTGGCCTGTAGCAGTGAGTGCCCTACAGTGGCTTCACAGACACTCCCCCAGACGTTCGTCATGGGACCTGGCTGCCAGGCGGACAGCCAGGCGCCAGTGCCTGCTGTGGGCACCAGAGTCGACTGTGAGCCCAGGCTGGCAGCCACCTGGCTCCCTGCTCTCGCCTGTGGCAGTGCACACTGTGAGACCGGCCGGCTTTCCAGAGCAGTTTGTCAGCGGCGCTCAGGGAGATGGACACTCCACATAGAGGAGCTGCTGCCGCCGGCACAGTCAGGCATTCCCAGGTGAGCCAAAGCGCGGGACCGACCTAGTGCTGGTGTCTCTGGGAGGCCCTCTGGGGTATACTTCCCTGAAAGGTAATCTGGGCACTTCAGTGTGCCTGTGGGAGACCTACCTGTATTAGGAGGCTGGGGTCATACATTATAGAACAATCCAGGGAGTCAAGTCAGCTTAGAATGCGAAAGGAGGGGGCCACACGCATCTGCAAGACCAGACGCCAAGTGGAGATGCTTCCGCCACTTATATGACTGCAGCACGGAGAGGACAGGGAGTTGGAAGAACCAAAGATGAAAGAACCATTAGGGTAGAGTCAGTTCTAGCTCGTGGAGACCTCTCCGTTGGGTTTCTGAGGCTATAAATCCTCAAAGAAGACAGAGCAGAAGTTGGATTTGAACCAGTGATTATCTGACAGCACTGCGCCACCAAAGCTGCTTTCAGGAAGCTGCTGGGCTAGGCAGATCTTTGACCCAGGTTTCTAGTCTGTCACCCACATAACCTCTAGATGGAGTTGTTTTTTCTCCTAGATGTGGTTTTCATTTTAAAAACTTTCCTTGACGTTTCTCTGGCAAACTGTCCTCCCCACCCCACACCGTTGACATCTTAACTAGCCAGAAAGAGGTCACAGGCCACCTCCTTTCCATGCCTCTTCCCACATCATCTCTTTCATTCCGTTCACAAACATTAAATTGATGAGATAAAGAAATATGTAAAGGCAGATTTTGAAATCGGTTGTGATATATTCGTTATGTGCACCCCGCAGCCATTGAGAAGAGATGAGGCTCATGTGTGCTGCTGTGAAATTGTCTCTAGGACATATCCAGACTTTGAGGTGCTCTGGTGGCCTAGGTCGTAGAAGACCCTGCCTTGGTGGGTTCATATCCATTAGAAGTTCCAGTCTCTTCCTGTATGATTCACAGCCTTGGAAACCCCATAGCGGGTCAGCTGTGAGTTGGTTCTGACTCAGCAGCAGGGTGGTTTGTGGTTTTTGTTTTTTTTCTCAAGGAACTAAGTTCATTCTTTTATACTATGCTTGTGTCTGCTTGGATTTTCTGTTGAAGATCCAAGAGCAGTATAGTTGTCTCAAGTAGCCACTACCTGTTTGGACTGTGCCTATTTATATGGTTTCATTTGACCATTATTCTGTTCATGTTCCCCATTGTTCCCTCCTCCAGAGACCTTTTCTCAAGCTAATACCAGCTTAGTTCTTTTTAGCACTTTGACCACTACCCAAAATGTTACTGGTCTTCTATACCTTCTAGCCAGAACTGACCCGTAGGTGACACTCAGGTGGGTTTTCAGAGGCAGTAAATCCCATAGGAGAAGATGGCCTTTGCTCCTGTGGAGCAGCTGGTAGAATAAAACCGTGTACCTTTGCATTGGCAGCACAGTTTCTCCCTAGATCCAAAATAGAAACGTATTTTACATCGCAGTCCAGCATGGACATCTGTCATTTTCACTAAACTTCATATTAGGAAACTCTGGTGGCCTAGTGGATAAGGAATTATACTACCAATCCAGTGCCAGATGGTTCAAACCCACTAGCTGCTCCATGGGAGAAGGGTAGGTAGTCTTTGAAAACCTACTAAAAGGTCAGCTATGAGTCCATTATAACCCAACAGTGTTACAACATGCATAATACACACAAACTTGTTTTATTCTAGTCTTCTTTTCTTCCCCCTTCATTTCGGTAAGGAGCCACTAAATTCATTCTGTGACCTATCTTAGGGCAGGCACAGGATTTTCTTTAAATTACAACTTGCAGTGTATGTACAGGTATGCATTATTTAACATCTACAATACATGTGTGAAATTGCATGGTGTTTGGATGTTACGTGAACACTGTGGTAAAACCTGCTGGTAGCCCACTACTCACTGTCCTTGTAGTAGCAATTGAAAGAACAACAGAGTGAGAACGGACCGGAGGGGATTTGGATGCAGACCCTGAGCCAGGCCTTCTGTCTCGCCTGCCTATGGTCCAGTGATGCAAGTATCTGAGTTTGGGGTCCTTGAAGGCAGTCCTGTGAGCTTCTTCAGCTGTCACAGAGACCCTCCTATGTCCTAAAGCCTGCCTCAGCCCTGGTGCAGACTCCTTGTTCAGTGGGCCGCAGGGTAGACCGCCACACAAACTCATTTTCCTTATCCATACTCTAGCAATTTTCAAGCATAAGTGTAACTCTTGAGATAGATGGACACACACACACACATATCTGTTTTCTCATTAAATACCCCTTACTTGAAATAGAATTGAAATTTCATGTAAAGCTTTGAAAAGTTGATTTGCCTCAACAGAATGATCACTGGTGTCTCAGAAGTTGAGTACCAGTTGACAGAATTAGACTCATTATGACAGGGATTCAACAGGAATTTAGTGCTTGGACTGTGAAACTGTGGTTTAAGGTTAGATCAGCCAGAATGGTTATCTAATGTGTACTAGGTGCACAGAAAATATTTGCATGAATAGGCTACATGGTATAACATGTTTTTAAGTTTTGAGGGAAGAAAAGTCACATATTTTGTAACTGTTAGTAATATGAGCCCAGTCCTGTCAAAATATAAACTACTTGCCCTTTGCCTTTAAAAAAAAAATTCTTTTTCTCTGGTGTGCATACATACATGTTTCTAATAGATAGAAAAGGGCTAAAAAGGAAATATAACCACGATTAGCTAGAAAGAAGGACAGGCCCCCACATCATCATCTGTGTTGAGGGGGACACTGACTACACTGCAGATTGCCACAGTGTTAGGGGTTGTTAGCTGGAAGTCTCTGGGCTAAGATTGTGGCTGTGCAGATGTGTGCATTTCCCTGTATAAACTAAACCCTCTGCCCTCAAGTCGACAACAACTCTTGGCAAACCTCTGCTGGGTTTCTGAGGCTGTAAATTTTCACAGGCAGAAACAGCCTCAGCTTTCTCCCTCAGAGCTGGTCCTCTCACTTAGCTACTCAACACATAACACTACACCAGGACTCCTTTTTTTCGGTATAGACGTGCATATTGCTGGGCTTTTTCATGTCAATAATGTATTTTTGTGTCATTTTTGTATAAGTGAACCTTTTCATTATCCACAAGTAAATTTGAACAGATCAGGTGCTCCAAGTGTGGAATGGGTTGGTTGGGTTTTTCATTTCTTTCATTTTTTGCTTTGCAGTGACATGGGCTCAAGGGCTGGCTACCCTGCTCAGGTTTACAAAACTACCAGCGCAGAGACTCCTCGGTCCTCACAGCTGGCGCAGGCCAGCCCCTTCCAGCTCTCTGCCTCTGTCCCCAAGTCCTTCTTCTCCAAGCAGCCCGTACGCAATAAGCACCCCACAGGGTGGAAGAGAACTGACGAGCCCCCACCACGGCCACTGCCCTTCACTGACCCAAAGAAGTAAGTGTGTGGACGCCCAGCCAGCTGCCAGAGCCGAGCCTGGGAATCCCTGGAATAGGGGAGAGGGCGGTGCCTCGGTCACTCCTGCAGCAGCAAACCCTGTGCTGAGAATTGATCTATATACGGGATATACTGCAGAGAGCCAGACAGATTCATGTCAGTAGGGAGCTAACGTGCTAGTTGGGGAGACAAACAAATACACAAGTCAGATGGCAGTGATCCCCGTGGTGAAGAGCATTCCAGACAGAACAGCAACTGCAGAGACCCTAATGTGGCGGGAGCAGTGTGAGCAAAGGGACACATGAGGTCAGAGAGGCCACAGACACACGGCGTGCAGGGTCCTGTGGGACTGATGTTAGGCCTTTTTTTCTAAGTGTGATGGGATCACAGGATGATGTGAAGCTGAAGAGGCACGTGGTCTCCGTTGGGTGGTTTACTGGTGTCCTCTGGCAGGGTAGTTTGCAGGGAGTTGCACGATTAACCTAAAGGCAGCACCTCCTTCGTGGTTCAGATTCACTAGAAGCTCTGAGAAAGATGGGCATTCTTTTCCCGTATGATTGAAAACCTCTGAATAGTCAGCTAGGAGTAGATTTCAACTTGATGGCAGTGAGAGAAAGACTAGTGTTGCCATACAAAGTTCCACAGATTAGATGACTTAAAACAGCAGAAAGACATTGTCTAGATGACTTAAAATGGCAGAAAATATATTGTCTCACATTTCTACAGGTTAGACAGTCATGGTGTTGATTAGGTCAGTGGTCTCTGAAGTCTCCTATGGGAAGAGCCTGCCTTGCCTCTTTCTAGTGATTCCATGCAACTCTTAGTGTCACTTGGCTTATAGATGCTATTCTCTGTGTCTGCTCCCATCATACTTGGCCTTCTCTCAGTCTTATTATATGGATTAAAAGAGTGTCTCCTGCTCTAATATGACATCATGTAAACTAATCACATTTCAGGTGACCCTTATTCTGCATAAGGTCACAGAGTTTCTGGAAGGACATGAGTTTTCAAGGTATGATGTTTAACCAGTACAGGCACCAGCAGCATAAAGCCATGAGACTAAAGAACTTTACAAAAAGGGATGTGGCTTGAGAGGAGAGGCCAAGGACTTAGGGGGGCTCAGTGGACAGAGGGCAGGTCAGAGGAGCCTCAGGATGTAGGCTTATGAAGGTCCCTCCCAAGGATTCAGGAAAATTGGTCAAGAATTGCAGACAGCAAATGGAGCAGCTCATTTGAGGAGCTTTGCTATGAGAAAAACAAGAGGGTTTGTGAAAAAATTTGTTAAGATAGAAAAATAAAATGCTAAGGATTCAGTGAATTAAATAATGTCTGAGAACTACAAACTGAGCCTGGGAACAGTGTTGTTGTTGTTGTTGTTGTTGTTATGTGCTATCACTATGAGTCGCAGGCGACTCGACGGCACATACAACAACAACACTGTTCCCAGGCTCAGTTTGTAGTTCTCAGACATTATTTAATTCACTGAATCCTCATAACAGCTCCTTTTGGTGGGGTGGACTGTTCTGGAGGCTGAGGGTTCTAGTGTGAATAAGGGGTGGAGCTTGGATCACACCCCAGGGAGCCTGGTGGAAGTCCTCCTGTTTGTTTGGATTGTAGGGGCTCCACCTTTCTCCTCCTTTCTCTCTGCTCCTCTTCTTTCATGAACTGGGTGAAAGTATGTCTGCAGACTATACATATTTGTGGATCACACAGAGGACAGAAACATCAGAATATAGAGCCCATGTCCCTTGGGCCCTTGGCAGACAAGCTGCTGATCTGGTATTGATAATCCAGGACAGCCCCTCCTACTGTCAGCCAGAGGGGACTGTGAAAGTTAGGTTACCATCACTGACTCACCTGCTTAAAACCTCCAGCAGCTTCCTGCTGCTCCCAGGGGAGGGTATCCCACTGCCATCCCATATTGATGATCATCTCTTAATTGCAAAGCAGGGAGGTTGTACCAGGGGCTGCTGTCCCAGGACCCTGCACAATCTGCCATCAGCTCTGTCCTTGTCTCGTCCCACCCCACTAGCACTCTCTGCTCCAGCCACACTGGCTCCTTACACCTCAAACCTGCCAAGCATAAACCTATCTCAAGGCCTTTGCATAGTGCTCTTTCTCTGCCTTGGAACATTCTCTCTCCAGATCTGCTCCATAGGGTAGCATAGTGGGTTATGTGTCAGGCTTCTCACGAGAAAGTTGGCAGTTCAAATCTACCAGCTGCTGTGTGGTAGAAACATGAGGCAGTCTGTCCATTAAGATTTACAGCCTTGGAAATCTAGCAGAGGGTCTCTGGGTGCATATGAGATATTTGGGGGTATGAATGAAATAGTTTTATGGTGCCATATCACTTAGTTAGTTATGGATAATGTATCACTAAATCATACATGTAAAATATGACTTTAGAATATTGCCTTTGTCCTTCAGTTTCCTGTTAATGAGCTGCTTTATTTTAACCCTTTTGCACATCTTAGAGATGTGTATTTGTCAGCATTAGAGGCTGTTTGGGGGCAGCTAGCCCAATTTTCCAGAAATTATGGTCTCCACTAACAGCTAAATTGAGACAAAGTTTTTCAAAAATGTGTATTATGCTATTGCTGAAATTTTACCCAAAGCCTGAGAACTTATTTTCATAGTGTACTTGATTGTATTTATCAGTACTTAACATTGTCGGTCTCATCAGGAAGGGCTGGTCCCTAGAGAAGGATGTCATGCTTGAAAAAGCACAATATCCACAGAGGAGGAGAAGACCCTCAACACAAAGGATTGGTGCAGTTGCAGCAACTGTGGGCTTAAGCTCAGTGGAGATTATGAGGGGGGTGAGGTTTCATTCTGTTGGACATGAGCTTGCTGTGAGTTGGTGCCTAGAGCATCTGTCCCTCCGTTTGGCCTCTGCTACAGACCCTGGTGGAGGTGTCACTTTGTCTCAGAACTCCTGAGTTCACTGACATACTGTCTCTTAACCTCCGTTTCCCTGTTTTAACTAAGATGTTAAGAGCACACACCATCCACAGTCAGACATTCGCATGATCTGCCTGCTGCCTGCCCAGGTGTGAACCTGGCCAGACTCCTTACAAGCCATGTTGGCAGAACCCTCAGCTCAGCAGGGCCCAAGGTGGTGCTAATGAGCTTAATTAACCAGCCCAGAGGGAGCCACCCCAGGTGGATGCCAGGACCAGGCCCAGCCAAGTTTGTACCCTCAGTCGTCCTCCACTTCTGGCAGGTCTTTCACAGGAAAAGGAAGTTGCTGTTGGCAAAGCCTAAAATGGAGGGCTGTCTTTGTGAATTCTCTTTTCTAATGGAAATTACTTAATTCCTCAAGATGCTGGAATCCAAGTCCAGGAAACCTGGCAAACCAGAGATTTTGTCCAGTGCCATTGATCAGACCCTCCAGCCTTATGAATGGCCTCTCATTTCCCTTTTGAATGAGTTGAGCATAGTCAGAAAGAAAAAAACTGAAATCGTACAAAAAGGTTTGTGATGAGAATTAAGCGTCTCTTGCTCCACTGGACCCTAGCCTCCTGGCTCCCCTCTCCAGAGACAACCATTGTTTGAGTTCTGCTTCCTTCCAGCAGTCAGAACCAGGCCAAGCACATGTAGCCGTGTGTGCACCTTTTGTCCCCATGCCGATTGACACGGCCACTTCCTGTCATACTCTTCCATATTTTCTACATACTTTTTTCTCTCCAGGTGTCTTTGCAATGGTTCCTTCCACAAGTTACATTTAGAAAGCTACTTCATCATTTATTTTTTTTTTATAATTTTTAACAATCATGTACTTGAGATTGAATTTTGACAGTTGTGGAGTCCAGGTATCCTGAAGGGAGGAAAATATCAGATAGATACATACACCTCCACTTTTAACATAAATAGCATAATTTGAAATTACTACATTGGAAAATTCTTCCAGGGTTTGGCTCCCTAAACTGAACTTTATTCCACTTTTCCCCTGTAAAGTTGTTTGTGCAGCTCTGTTCATTCCAGGCCCTGGAGCTTGCAGAACATGAGACACAGATGCAAAGAGTGTTAGAGAAGAAGGTTCTAGCATGGTTGGTCCCATAGAATTAAGAATAACTCACAAAGGGCTTAGGAACTGGCAAAGTGAACAGGGGAACACAGGTAAAACAGCAGAGATGGATTAATTTGACTTAACTAATTTTTTTTCTCTTAAGTATCACAATAATATTCTATTTTGCAAAGATTATTTAAGAAAAATGAGAGAGAAAAGAGTACTATCTTCTAGGCTTTTTAAACTTACAACTTTTTGATAAAAAATACGTAGAAAGGAAAACATGCACTCGTTCAACAGGTTCTTCATAGACCCTGTAAAGAAATTACTTACACTTTTTATAGTGTGTCATCATTCTCACTATCTCTGCCTAGATTGTTTTACCACTGTTATCTTAGACACTCTACCCCTCAACTTCTCTATGTTACTGTTGCAAGTTTGACTTCATATAGGTTTACTGAAGTGTAATACTCAAGACCATTTTCACTAATTGCGCTAAACTATTGTTGGGCATAAAAATTACTTCATAGAATACTTTGGGTTCAAGGTTGGAAAAGTGTTTTCAGGTAATTGATTTGGAAGTTTTCCCAGCCTCGGGAAACCCGAAAGATCTAATTTGCGTGAAAAATTAAAAGTCTGTTCCACGTATTCCCACCTTTTGATAAGTACCCATTTATTTGGTCTTTGATCAAAGTGTTCAATAATGGTAGCCTCTCTCCATCCATTTCTTCTGGTATTGTGACAGAGGAAGACAGTAGTTTGTTCATGTAGTTAGACCTGCAGCCCGTTTCTTTCTCTAGTTCCTGGGTCTCTTTCCTCTGTTGCTCTTTGCAAATGGAGACCATCTGGCTGCTGGCACTATCACTGAATTCAAAGACAGAACAGAAACACTGAGAATATGTTAGTCCAATTGATTAAATTGTCCATCGTGCCATGACTCTAAACCCTCAAGTCTAAAAAATCAATACCGTGGTGTGTTATGCTGTACCTA